CCACTGTCCCCACCACTGTCCCCACTGCACCTCTGTCCCATTGTCCCACCGCCGTCCTCGCCACCGCCTTTACCAGTGTCCCCACCACCATTGTACCCTCCACTGTCCCAGTGTTTCCACCTCATTCCCACTGTCCCCACACCACTGTCCCCACCACCACCGTTCCCACCACTGTCCACTGTCCCCCCTGTTCCCACCATTGTCCCCACCACTGTCCCCACCACTACCGTCCCCACCACTGTCCCACTGTCCCCCCACTGTCCCCACCACTGTCCCGCTGTCCCCTCACCACTGTCCCCACCAACACCGTCCCCACCACTGTCCGCACCCCCACTCGGTTTTCGAGGGGGGGGGGGTTCGAACCGGTAGTGACCCCCCCCCCTTTTCATGATGAGCTGGGGGGGGGGGGGGTTCGAACCGGTAGTGACCCCCCCCGGTTTTCCGGGGGGGGGGGGGGGGGAGGGGTTCGAACCGGTAGTGACCCCCCCCGTTTTCTGCCAGCAGCGGTAGAACACGCTCTTTCTGACAACAGGACCCCTATCTTAGGAGAAGGGAGGCTCTTACCGTTTTCGGCGCCTGGGGGCCCTCGCTGGGCCCCCAGGGGCCGTCCAAAAACGATCCGGGACGAAAACCGGGTCCCCGGGAAAGTGGTCCAGAGCTCCAGGGGCCGCACATTGAAAAATACAAAACATGTCGCCGCGCCGCTGGTCCTGAACGCACACGGGTGGACGGCCGACACCACGGCAAGCCCACGGCAGGCCGCGGCAGACCCACGTCGAGCCCGCCGCGCCCGAGGCGGCGGCCGACCTGGTGCCCGCGACGCCCTCCCCGAGACGAAGGCCGCGCGCCAGAGCAAACTGCGTGGCGGCGCGTCGGAGGTCCGGGGGCGCGGAGGCCGGGCGGGCGCAGACCTCCGAGGGGTGTGCTCGAAGAGAGCGGGCCTCGCCCTGCGTCCCGGGGCCCCTGGCAGGGAGCTTCCCGTGGCCACGGCATGGGCCCCCCTCCTCCTCCTCCTCCTCCTCCTCCTCCTCCTCCTCCTCCTCCTCCCCCTCCCTCCCTCCTCCTCCTCCTCCTCCTCCTCCTCCTCCTCCTCCTTCTCCTCCTCCTCCTCCTCCCCCTCCTGCCCTGCGCCTGGGGCCCCTGGCAGGGCGCATCCAAAGAGGGGGCGTCCAAGAGGGTGTTCGCAAGACATGGCCCGAGGCACGTGCGCGGCCGGAGGGGGCCAAGGGACATGCAGCCAAGAGTATGATCAAGAAGACTGTCGTTCAAGAAATCTGGGCCAACTTCCAAATAGTGACTCCTGACAATCTTGGGCAAATTTCGGTTGTTGGCGATTGAGGGGCGAGTAAGCTCAAGTTGGTTAAGGAACGCCGGCCCAGCTTCTCGGGCGAAGGTTTCTTAATCAGATGCTCGACTGCATTGGAATAAGAAGAGGGGCCATGAAATCCAGGGAGATATCGAGGCCCTGGCCATGATATCCACGGCCCTCTTGGCCGCCACCGAAATTCTGGCCCGGGCGCACCCCGCGAAAGGTCCAGGGAAAGGTTTGCGACCTCTGGGTCCGATCTCCGACGACATCTCTCTGTTTTCAATCCTAGCGCTTCTCCCCGAGATCGGCTCCTGGGGCCCTGTATCGGGCCCTGGGGCCATCAGAAACGGGGAGGGAACGGGAAGCTGCGAACCACAAGGGTCAAGATCAGGACCTGCTGGGGCCGTGCACTGACCAACGAAAAACTCCTCGGATGTCCCATGAAATCCGACTTCACGAAAAGACGAAATCGCAAAACAAAAAAAAAAAAAAAAAAAAAAAAAAAAAAAAAAAAAAAAAAAAAAAAAAACGAGCCCCAGACCCAAACTTTCTGCTGCAATCTTCTAGACGGATCGATCCGCGAGGGCTCCAGGGCCCGAAGCCAGGCGAAAATGCCTGGTACGGAAAAATCCCACCAGCCCTCTGGGCGTGAGTGGTTTAGAGCGCTTCCTCTTACAACCCCCCTTCTCTGCCTTCGGGGAAGGGTCTTCCGCTCCCTCTATCCCTCTGAACCTGGACTGGGGGGTCGCGACCCACTGGAGCGTCCGAGAAGGCCTCGGCGAGAATGCAAAAATCATGGATTCACGAAGGTGTTGGTCACATTTTGGCCTCCTGGGGGGCAGGGATGAAATATGGGGTCCCCCTTCTTTAATCGAGCTCCTCCAAGATGGCCCCAAGATGGACCCCAAGGCTCCCCAGAGTACCACAAGAGTGCCCCAGGAGGGGCTCAGGAGGCGCCCAGAAGTTCTCAAGAGGCTCCTAAGAAGTGCCAGGCTCCCAAGAGAGCCCCAAGAGGCCCCAAGAGGCTCTATTGAGGCACCCAAGACGCTCCACGAGGCCCCTGGGACCGTCAAGAGGCCCTAAGACGCCCCAATAGCACTCCAAGAAACTCTCAAGAGACTAGACTCCGAGAGACATCGAAGAGGCCTCTGGCCTTTTCTGCTCGCCTTCATCCTCCTTCTCCTCCTCTTCTCCTTCCTCCTCCTCCTCCACCTCCTTCTCCTCCTCCACCTCTTCCTCCTTCTCCTCCTCCTCTTTATCCTTATACTTCTCCTCCTCCTCCTCCTCCTCCTCCTCCTCCTCCTCCTCCTCATCCTCATCATCATCATCATCATCATCATCATCATCATCATCATCATCATCATCATCATCATCATCAACAACATCACCCTCATCCTCATCATGTGCCTCATCATCATCATCATCATCATCATCATCATCAGCAGCAGCATCATCATCAGCATCATCGTCATCATCAGCATCAGCATCATCAGCATCATCAGCATCATCAGCAGCAGCATCATCATCAGCATCATCATCATCGTCGTCACCATCATCATCAGCATCATCATCAGCATCATCATCACAATCATCGTCCTCATCATTTTCCTCATCCTCATCATCAGCATCATCATCTGCATCATCATTATCAACATCATCATCATCGTTGTCATCATCATCACCATGATCAGCATCATCAACAACATCATCATCATCATCATCATCATCATCATCATCATCATCATCATCATCTTCATCATCATCATCATCATTATCATCGTCATCATCATCATCGTCATCATCATGATCAGCATCATCATCATCAGCATCCTCATCATCATACTCATCCTCACCGTCATCATCATCATCATCATCATCATCATCGTCATCATCATCATCATCATCATCGTCATCATCATCATCATCATCATCATCATCATCAGCATCACCATTAGCATTAGCAGCATCGTCAGCATCATCAGCATCATCAGCATCATCAACATCATCATCATCGTCCTCATCATTTTCCTCATCCTCATCATCAGCATCATCATCAGCATCATCATTATCAGCATCATCATCATCGTTGTCATCATCATCACCATGATCAGCATCATCATCAACATCATCATCATCATCATTATCATCATCATCATCATCGTCATCATCATCATCGTCATCATCATGATCAGCATCATCATCATCATCATCATCAGCATCCTCATCATCATACTCATCCTCATCGTCATCATCATCATCATCATCATCATCGTCATCATCATCATCATCAGCATCACCATTAGCATTAGCAGCATCGTCAGCATCATCAGCATCATCAGCATCATCAACATCATCATAAACATCATCATCACTATCATTACCATAATCATAATCATCATAATCATAAGCATCGTCATCATAATCATCATAATCATAATCATCATCATCATCATCATAATCATACTCATCGTCATCATCATCATAATCATCATAATCATAAGCATCAACAACATCATCATTATCATTACCATAATAATCATCGTCATCATCATCATCATCATCCTCAGTATCATCATCATCAGCATCATCATCATCATTAGCATGAGCAGCATCAGCATCAGCATCAGCATCAGCATCAGCATCATCCTCATCATCAGCAGCATCCTCATCATCATCGTCATCGAGATCGTCATCGTCGTCATTACCATCATCAGCAGCATCATCATCAGCATCATATCATCATCAGCATGAGCATCAGCATCAGCATCATCATCAGTTGCAGCTTCTGCATCATCATCATCATCATCAGCATCATCATCACCATCACCAGCACCATCATCATCGTCATCAGCAGCATCATCAGCATCATCAGCATCATCATCATCATCGACAGCATCATCTGCATGAGCATCATCATCCTCATCCTCATCCTTTTCCACATCATATTCAGCATCATCATAATCATCATCGTCATCATCATCCTAATCATCATCATTATCATTATCATCATCATCATCATCATCATCATCATCATCATCATCACCATCATCATCCTCATCATCATCATCATCATCATCATCATCATCATCATCATCATCATCCCTCCTCACTCCTCACTCCTCCCTCCTCCCTCCTCCTTCATTCCCCTTCCTCTCCCCATCCCCCTCCTCTTCCGATTCCGCCTCCATCCTCCCACTCCAGGGGGACGGCGGCTTCGCCAGCCAGTTATTCCACTGTATGCTCCTCCACATCCCTGGTCAGGGCACCTCGCCTGGGCAACGTTTCTGGATGGGCTGGTGGGGTTACACGGAACACCGGGCGGTTCAAACCGGTCGTTTCCGCCAAGTTTCGGGCCCTGGGACCCTCACGGCTCGATCCGGCTCGAAAAATGTAGCAGAAAAAGGGGTTCCAGGCTCTTGCGAGTTTTCCAACAATGTTGCATTTCTGGTCGTGACGTTCGATCTCAGGGTTGCTGTGCGTATGCACGACTCGGACTAGAATTGGGCTGCTTGCTTCGCCCCTGGCACCCGAAATTCATACAGATCCGCCCCTGGCCAGCATGGGGCAACATCACACGCAATCCAAATCAAATTTAAAAGGCTGCGGAAAAGGAAGAGAAGCCCGCTTGGGCGCAGTGCAACTAGGCGAGCACCATGTGCTCCCCGGCACGACAACGGCGACGTGGACCAGCTGGGCAACCATCCGAAAAGGAGATCGTCATGCCTTCCTGGCCCTCCCACCCGCGCCTCTTCTTTTTACTGTCGCGCACCACAGGAAGACATCCAGTCGCAGGGTGGTGGCGATCCTGGCAAGAAGGGTGGGAAGCAGCTGCATCTAGACGGTGCAGGAACAAGCCGAATGGTGTTTTACACATTGTGCTGCGATTGCGCACTGGGGCAGAGCAGGTGTCAGCCTGTGACCTGCGTGAGAATTCCTCATGGCAGGTGGACATGTTGTGTTTGCTTGGCTGTGCAATTACCAATATTCTCGCTAAAAAACTACAAGCAGGGGTGCCTTAGCAGCCACTGCAGCCGAAGTCCGCCACCGTACCTGAACGATAGTCTGGTATTACAATAGCTTTCCAGATCCACCCCCCCCCTACCAGCGCAGAGCCCTTGAAAATCGTCATTTGTAGTTTTGCCTTCTGGCACCCGATTCGGTCGCCGGACGGCTCCAAGACAGCCCAAGATCGCATTGAAACGGCTGCACAATGCCCGAAGGGCAGCCCAAGACGGCCCCATGACTCCCAGATGCTCCAACCTTTCCCCGAGATGCCACATGAGGTCCCGAAGAGCTCCCAAGAGACACCTACAGATGCCTCCAGCGAGACCCACAGAGGCTTGAAATAATGAAGCACCAAAGCAACATCAATATGTTGCAGACCGCAAAGGGGAAGCTTCAGAAAGGCCCAGCAAATCTTCAACACGGCCCAGAGAGGGCCCCCGGACGGCCTCAACACTGCCCCAGAACACCCCAATGCGGGCAAAATGTATATCCATATCCACTGCATCTTGGGGGGTCGGGTTCCCTTCCCCAGACACACGAGGCGCAATGAATATGGATAAAAACAAGCCAGATTCTTATCCATATCCACTGCGCCTCGGCCTTTTTGTGGCGTCCCTCGCCAGAAACCCGAAAACGCAGTGGGTATGGATATCAATCCTGCCCGCACCCACGACGGCCCCAGGGGGTTCCAAGGTGGCCCCGACGGCTCCGAGACGATCCAGCGGGCCCCCAAAGGCCCCCGAGGAGGCGAGGAGCCCCCGACAGGGCCCGAAGAAGCCACAAGGAGGTATACAAGAGGCATTCAAGAGGGGCGAGGAAGGAGGGGTGAGGAAGGGAAGAAGGGGAAAGGGGATCGAGGAGGAGCAGCAGGAAGATGAGGAGGATGATGAGGAGGAGGAGGGCCAGTGGAAACCCAAGAGGCATCAACGATACTGGAATTAACCCTCTTTCCAAGCTCCCTCTTCATAGGCTCCTACAACCGTTGAGTGTCCATTGAGGGAGCTGCCTCGTCGGAAGACAACAGGTTGAAGGTCCTAAAGCGTGCCAAAACATTGCATTCGGGATTCCAACTCCATGTATCTACCTGACTGCTGCGTCTTGACGATCCACAATCGTGCCAGACCGCCACCTTTGGAATTACAACACAGTGAATCAACGTAAGTGTTGCGCCCGCATAATCCTGAACCCTTACCAAAAACAATTTCTGGTACGTTGATCATGGGACCCCGTGAAACTCTTGCAATGTGTTAATACGAATGGGCGCGGCGCTAAAGCGAGAACCACATGTTGAAAACGACCCACCCTCAATCCGTGAAGCTCTTGCAAACGTTTAAAACGAATGCACGCGGCGCGAATGCCAGAACCACATTTTGAACACGACCCGCCCTCAATCCGTGACGCGCTTGCAAATGCTTGAAACGAATGTGCGCGGCGCTAAGGCGAGAGCCACAGTTTGAACACCACCCGCCCTCAATACGTGAAACTCTTGCAAGTGCTTGCAAAACAATGCGCGCGGCGCTAAGGCGAGACCAACATGTTGAAAACGACCCACCCTCAATCCGCGAAGCTCTTGCAACTTAAAAAGGCAACAACAAAAAACAAAACCAAACATGTGCGCGGCGCTATGGCGAGAGCCACATTTTGAAAACAACACGTCCTCAACCCGTGAAAACCTTGCAAATGTTTGAAACGAATGAGCGCGGCGCTAAGGCCAGAGCCACATTTTGAACACGACCCGCCCTCAATCCGTGAAGCCCTTGCATGTCTTAAAAAAACTAATGTGCGCGGCAATAAAGCGAGAGCCACATTTTGCAAACGATCCACCCTCAATCCGTGAAGCCCATGCTAATGTTGAAAACGAATGTGCGCGGCGCTAAGGCGGGAGCCACATTGTGAAAACGGCCCGCCCTGCATCCGTGAAACTGGTCTCTTTGTTAAGCTTCAGAACCCCAGACCGCTGAAAAAACTGGCCTCGGGGTGCGACAGGGAGGAGTAGAAGGAGAAGGAATGAAGGAGGAGGAGGAGTGATGGCACGGCCAATGTTCGATTATCCCTTGGGTTGTGCGGCGATGGGCTGGCACATCTCCCGTTACCCCCGCAGGGCAGTAATGGTAGCAGGGCTTCCCCTCAGCTCGGTGGGGGGTGGGATGCTCGCAGATCCGTCCTCAGCATCCCATCCAGAAGGGGTGCCAGCAGACCTCGTCCGTCACTATCCTGAAGTGGTCCAGATGCGCCAGGCGCCTCGCGGTTCTCCAGGGAAGACCTGCGATGGCACGCCCATTCGTTGTTCAGGAAGTTCTGGATGGAGCGGGAGCATTCAAAAGAAATGTGCTTCGGGATGGAGTGGGAGAGCGAAAGAGAAAGAGAGAGAGAGAGAAGGAGATAAGCAGGGAAATATAGATAGACACAAGGGAAGAGAAAGAAAGTGAGAGAGAAAGACAGAGAGAGAGAAAGAGACAGAGAGAGAGTGTGTGTGTGTGCGTATGTGATGGAATGGGCGGGACATCGCATGCGCACCCTGCCTATCAGGCTTTCGGTGGAACTCACTATGGGGCCACGAAACATGTGAGAGGTGTGCTGGAATGAGCGGGGAACCGCATGCGAACCCTGCCAACGAGGCCTTCGATGCACGAAACGTGTGAGGGATGTGCCAGAATGGGAGGGGAACCGCATGCGAACCCTGCCACTGGGGCCTTCACTGGATCGGGGACCCGCATGCGAACCCTGCCACGGGAGCCCTCGGTGGAGCTCCCTATGGGGCCACGAAACGTTTGAAGGGTGTGCCTGAGTGGGCGGGGAACCGCATGCGAACCCTGCCACGGAGGCCTTCGGTGGAGCTTCCTATATGGGGCCACGCAACGTGTGAGAGGTGTGCCGGAATGAACGCGAAACCGCATGCGAACCCTGCCATTGAGGCCTTCGGTGGAGCTCCTCTTGGGGCCACAACACGTGTGAGGGGTGTGCCGAAATGGACGGGGAACGCGCAGGGGGACACTGCCACTGAGGCCTTCGGTGGAGCTACCTATGGGCCCACGAAACATCAGAGGGGTGTGCTGGAATGGGCGGGGAACCGAAGGCGAACACCGCCACTGAGGCCTTCGGTGGAGCTCCCTATACGGGGCCACTAAACGTGTGAAGAGTGTGCAAAAATGAGCGGGGAACCGCATGCGAATCCTGCCACTAAAGCCTTCAATCAAGCTCCTCTTGGGGCCAAGAAACATGTGACGGGTTTGCCCGAATGGGCGGCAAACCGCAGGCGAACCCCGCCACTGGGGCCTCCGGTGGGGCTCCGTAGGGGGCCACGAAACGCGGGAGTGGTGTGCCGAATTGGGCACGCGGAGGGCGGGATGGGAGGAGAGGAGCAAGAGCGGGAGGAGCAAAAAGCAAGACGCAGGGCACTGTCTCTCTTTTTCTCGTTATTTTTCTTGTGTGTACGTTCAATACATACATAGAGAGAGTGCGAATCTCTCTTTACTTAATATTATCCGCAACCCCGGGGTAGTACATACCCTCTCACTCTGACTTCCCCATCCATCCTTCAATAGCATATATATATAACAATGGTTCTCTCTCTCTCTCTCTCTCTCTCTCTCTCTCTGATCACCAGCTTATATATAAAAATGTGTATGTGTTGTTCGTCAATGTTGTTCTCTCTCTCTCTCTCTCTCTCTATCCCATTCTCTCTCTCTCTCTCTGGCCAACTCTACTCGCAACTCGATGACCGTGTAAGTGATGCTTATGATTACAGATCCTGGCGCCTGGCCTCAACCAATCCAAAACCCCAGAACCTCACAGTGCCAATAATATAGACACGGGAACCGGGAAACCCGCATCCCACCGAACCTTCGACTGCCGGGGACCCCGCAATCGGGAACCAGGAATCCAGCCGCACCGAACCAGAAACCCGGGAGCCCCCGGCCACCGAACTGGGAGCCTGGGAACCCAGCCAACCTCACACTGCTGGGAAACCTGGAACTGCCAGCCGACCTTGCGCTGCTGAACCAAGAAATGGAAACCCCGGAACCCAGCAGTCCACCGAAATCCGCCCGGAACCTGGAACAGGGAGCACCGGGAACCCAGGAACCCAACCGCCTGATGAAATCGGCCCAGGACTTTCGCCAAATCCTTCCGTATCCGCGAGGCCCCTTTCAGCGCAAGCACCAATTAAGGAAAACAGCGGCGTATATATATATATATATATGTCCAGAGAGAGAGATATACAGATCTAGGTCGAAATAGAGATACAGAGAGAGAGAGAGAGACAGGGAGAGAGAGAGAGAGAGAGAAAGCGAGAGAGAAGAAAAACAACAAACAAAGAAAGAGTGGCACACACACAAACGCACACACACAGTACGTTTAAGCACTGCCCCAACGGTGACCAGAAAAAGCTCCCAAGAGGCCCCGAAGAAACCACCAGGAAGCCGCCAACACGCACCCAAGGGGCAGGAGGGATTGATTGATTGATTGAGTGCGGAGACCCACTCTGGCTAGGGCGCGCACAACGCACAGCCAACAAACATACCACCCAAAATCACAGATCTGGAAATGACATCCCGATCTTCGGCGACAGGCCTCGTCGGAGGCGAGATAGCACGCAGGCGCCAGCCCCGGCGGGTCTGCGATTTGGCGGGCAGGCCTCCGCGAGGAACCGAGAGCTCTGGGTCATGAATCTTCCGCAAACTCGACAATAAGGGGCGCCGCGAATTACATTCGGGCCATGCGAGTGGGCACGTGGAGCTCCAGATGACAGCTTCACGCCCCTCCAAAGAAAGGTCTTCGCTCCCGCGCCCCACGGCAACGACCGGGACAGCAGGACGAGACTCGGAGCGTGGTGGCCCCGAAAAATCGCCCACTGATCACGCGCTGCAAGCAAGTGCCAATCAGCTTCGCGGAGTGTCCAGCAGCTTCCAGCCGCATCCTGCGGGTGGCGAGGGAGGGGAGACTCGGGGCGAGGCGGGGGCCGCCCCTACTCTGTCGACCACCTCCCACATTCAAGTTAAGGCCGCTTCACGGCTGACAG